ATATATATGTATATATATATAACCATATCGTGACTAGGCCCCTCGAAGCCTTCAGTCAGTTTTACAGACCCTGGAGCCCACTGCAACTCCTCAACCAACAAGTTCGATAATCCAAGTCTGTGAATAATGCTTACGTTGGACCCTATAAGGTCTATAAATGTTACTGCACGCTAACCTTCGGGCCCGAAGGTCTGCAAATGTTGCACCCTACTTGGAGGCCCATGAGACTTAGTAACTACGAATAACTGGGCGTAACACCCCAATTATAAGTAGGGTTATAAGCCCAATTATAAGTATTTACTAAATCCCATGGGCCCCCAAGTAAATACCCCATAAACCCTGGGCTGTTTGGGCTGCAAAACACCACGGAGCCTCAAAGGTTGAAAGCGCGGGCTGCCCCCTGGTTATCTTGCTGGGGGTTAGTAGAGAATAAGGGAATTTAGTAGGGAATAAGGGAATATGTATGTGTATATATATATATTTGGATATATACGTATATGTATATATACATACATATATATATATGTATATACATATATATATATAGAGGGTTTAGGGTTAAGGGTCAGTAGGGAATAAGGGAATATGTCATACTATATAAGTTACACCTCTATATTCCCTATTGACCACAAGTAAGTTATAAGCCGGGCTTTAGGTGAGTTAGCTAGATCAGGAGGGCGGTCTAGGTTAGGGGTTGGTGCATACTTAAGTTGTACCAATGAAGCCTAGATTGGTGTTTCTGACCTGTAGTAATAAGCCCGGCCTCTCTACCGCCACTTGAGTGTTTATGGTAGATGCATGCGGCGGATTCCCGAGCTAAAGGTCCAATTCTTCAACTTCAGATGAACCACAACCCTGAACCCTTCTCCTAAATCTCTCAATTCTCCCCGGTTACTAAGTTTCAGGACTACCAAGGAAGCGAGAATCAAGCCATCAGAACATGACACTGAAGCCATGAGCCAGTATCATCCCAACGCCTAAGCCAGCAGCCACAACCCTGAACATTTCAAGGGTTTAGGGTTTAGGGTTGTAGAAGCCTGAGTAATTATGAACATTATGCTCCCAGATTTCCTGTAGCATGATGGGATAGGGTACATCCACTAGACCTCAACATGGCATAACAGCTATGTAGGCGCCTACAGTACAAGCCAATCCCAAAGGGGTTCTCTTTCCCAGCCCCCCACTGCTTGCTCCAAGGGATCTCTGGTTGTGGGAATCATTTGTGCGGAGCCCCCTCCGGACTTCCATGGAGCCAGTCTAAGTACTATGCACTGTAACCCTTGTATATTCTCAATGAAGCTTTGTAAAAGAATTGCGTATAGGGCGCCAAAATCTCCAGATTTTGCACCGTACATTAGGTCATTATTAGGTATTGCTCGGAATCGGGATGCTCCTTTGCACGCTCGCGAAATAATTCCCGAAAGAAGAACCCCCCTTTTGCTGAAGAACTCTGAGCCAACACTCCCACAGAATCTGTGTAATCCCAGAAAACTCATGAACCGTATGGTAGTTCTTAATACCCCAACATGCTATGTATTCCTTATTCTAGCGACTCACAAGAAAGAGCCCCTCATTGTTGGAAATGTTAAACACGAAAAACCAACACACAATCCCATAGTCCATGCCATCTTGCACTGTTTTCGCCATTCGATGCTCCATAGCTTTAAAACTACCATGAAACTGCATGTAGCCCTAGGTAATCCCATACACAACGCCTACATAATCCCTATATCTTCCCTAAATAGTAGTTTCCATTTTCTTTTCCATTATCCCAATATTCTATCTACTTAAGGGGGACTATAATCCTTATAACTTCCCTTAAAATTACCATGAAACTGCCTACATAATCCCTATAACTTCCCTCTCTGGACCTTAGGATGGCTTGCCTCCCTGACCTGGTGGAGCTCGCCACCCACAGGAAGTCGCCGCCCCCCCCTTTCGTGGAGAAGCCGCTGAGCCAGGACCTTTTTGGGAGGTTTAGGGTGTAGGGAAGTTATGTCT